TTGAGCACCCCTGGCTTAAACCAATTCAATTCAAAACTGCAAAGAAATATGATTACATACAACTTACCACGCAATCTGTTAGCTTGCCCCATTGTTCATAGTAGTTTCTCAGACTTTCTTCTGTTGTCTCAAAGCTTAAGCCACCAATGAACAGTTTGCGGAACTGCTCCTTTTCCCTCTAATACAAACAAAAAAAATAACAACATAGCACAAACTAAATAATTTCACAGTGCCAGATTTGAACTCTCCCCAACATATTTAGGGAATATATTATCTTTTTGGCCAAACACATTTTTGGGATAACACATTAAAAATACAGAATCTTAAGTTCTGATGGTCAACAGAAAAACCTCCTTTAGAAATGGATTCATGAAATAAGGTATTAATCTAACTGGAAACCAAATATGGATAATTTGTTCTGTTATGCTTACAGAAAAAATAGAAATGAAAATCTTAAAAGATTTTCCAGATATGGTGTAAAATATATTTCTAATTGCTTGAGTAGTCTTAGACTGTCGCTAGTAGCAGTCCTGATTTATTTTTGGCTCTAACAGTATATAAAAGTTATTTGTTGGTGTGCTATCCAAGCAACCAGGTAATTATGTTATTCTCTTTCCTTGTCAAAGCCTTGTGAACTTCACCTAACTTTCTAGGTGGCTTTCACACCCATCTCTCCTTAGCAGGCAAGGAAAGGAATAACTTTCATGAGCCAAAACATCTTAAAATTTAACAGAAGTACTATAACCTGAAATGTTAAGGTATTATGCCCCTTGTAGATACTTAAGTGTCACAAACTAATACATATTTTTCATTTATTGCAACTGCTTACAGAAGTATCTTGAAATGTTACAAACATGTCTACAGGCATGAGTTCTGTCTTAGAAACAGATATCTGTCTCTTACAGTTTTACAAAAGAAACTCCTTTCGGTTATAATGACCATGGAACTACACATCTTTTTATATTCTCAACATACAACACTGGCAATCTAAAAATCAATAAACAGGCAGACCAGTGCTTCTATATATCCATGTTATGTTTCTAAGTAAGCCATTGCTACATTGTAAGTTTAATGCTAAAGTGGGCAATCTCCACATCAATAAGAAACTCTGCTATATATAAATAAAAAAATTCAGCCTGAGTGTTGCACTGCAAGCTTCCTTCACAGCTCAAACAGCAAGCTTCACGTTCCTAACGCACAGAAGTAATCTCAAAGAGGCTTGCCTTATGCTTAACCTGCAAAGAAAAAAGAAAAGAAAAAAGATTGGGCCCCTGCATTTCTTATCTGATTGTTTTAAGCGCCCTTATTTATGAAAATGGCCTGACAATTTTTTTCTTCCCCTGCACCAGGAATGACATGAACGGTGTTGACTTCTTGACTGAATCAATTATGTTTATTTAAAATAAGTGAGAAAAAGATTTTGAAGTGTCTGAACACAAATCAGTTACAATGATACAATATTCACCTAAAAAATATCAAGCCACTGAAAAACATTTTAGATTGTGTGCCACTCACTGTGGGGTTTTTTTTAAGAAGTTACAATTCCTTGCTGTAAATCCAACTACTACTCCTACATATGCAGCCTCATTGAGTCTATTCTTATTGGGATTAGTACCTGGATTTAGGCTCTTGTGTCTTTAAATGTTAATACAGAGTGTAAGGCATCCTAAATAATTACTCAGATGCAAGCAGCCAAGTAGGAAAGCCTGCATCTTTCTCAACTGAAATGCAGAAACATATGCTAAATAATGAGGTATTAATTAGGTTGACACATGGACCCACAGCTCAGTATATCTCCAAAAATACAGAAATATATACAAAAAAAACCCCCTATTTCATTTGGCTACATTTTGGATTTGACACTGTCAAACATTCAACTTCAGGAGCCCATCTAGTTTAACTTCATTTTTTGTTTGAAGCAACTTATAAAATCATATTATTTTTTCACAAATGTAACAAGATTCAGAATCACAACCTATCCCTTCTATACTGCCATATAAAATCGAGATTATCTGCTTTGAACTGGATTATATGGCAATGTAAACTCATATGGCAGTGTGGGTGGGGCCTACGCCAACAAATAGAGGTAATTTGTTTTCATTTCTTCTGCCAGCAGACAACTTTCAGGTGAGCAATTTGCATTTTTATGAAATGTGGTCAAGCTGAGGACAGGATGGAAGATTACCCAAATCGCTACAGTAAAGTGGTGCGATGTTAAAGGAACCCAGGGCCCTTCTACACAGCCTATCCCACATTATCAAAGGAGAAAATCTCACATTATCTGAGTGTGGAATCAGATAACCCAGTTTAAAGCAGATATTGTGGGATTTTCTACCTTGATATTCAGCAATATAGGGATCTGCAGAAGGACCCTCAGAAGATTTGGTGCAATGCAAAAATGCACTTTTTGGGCCTTTCCACACAGCCAAATATCTAGAACAGTGGTTCTCAACCTGGGGTCCCCAGATGTTTTTGGCCTTCAACTCCCAGAAATCCTAACAGCTGGTAAACCGGATGGGACTTCTGGGAGTTGTAGGCCAAAAACATCTGGGGACCCCAGGCTGGGAACTACTGATCCAGAATATCAAGGCAGAAATCCTACATTATCTGAATGTGGAGTCTAATTACTCAGTTCAAAGCAGATATTGTGGGATTTTCTGGCTTGAAATTCAGAGGGTTTTTTTTGTCCCCCTCCCCCCCCACCACCACCACATTTGTTCAGTTAGTTGATCACGCCCCATACGTGATCAACTAAGGGCTCTTCCACGAAGCTCTATATCCCAGAATATCAAGGGAGAAAATCTCATATTATCTGAGTGGGGTTTCAGATAACACATCTATGTGGAAGGGCCCTAGTTTTTGCGTTTGGAAGGGCCTTTGGTGAGCCAATTGTTCTAGAAAACGCAAAAACTACGGCCCTTCCACACAGATAACTGGGTTATCTGAAAGCACACTCAGATAATGTGGGATTTTCTCCCTTGATCTTCTGGGATATAGAGATGTGCAGAAGGGCCCTCAGAAGATTTGGTGCAATGCAAAAAGGGTCACTCTTTGGGCCCTTCCACACAGCCATATATTTAGAATATTAAGGCAGAAATCCCACATTATCTGAGTGTGGGCTCTAATAACCCAGTTCAAAGCAGATATTGTGGGATTTTCTGCCTTGAAATTTAGGGATATAGGACTGTGTGGAAGGGCCCTTCCACACAGATGCGTTATCTGAAACCCCACTCAGATAATGTGAGATTTTCTCCCTTGATATTCTGGGATATAGAGCTTAGTGGAAGAGCCCTTATGGGGCGTGATAAACTAACTCTGCTGAACAAATCTGGTGGGGTGGGGGGAAGAGGGACAAAAAAGCAACGGGTTCGTGTTAGGTATTTTTACGTAGGACATTATCCTTCCCTCGCCCCCTTGCTGAACTCCCGCTGAAAATGGTTCCGCCATGTGATGTCCCCGTGAATCCCAAGTCCTCAGCGGAGTAGGAGAGAAAATGGCGCCGAAGAAGACGAGGCGGGGGGAGAGGGGGGGGGTCGTTCCCAGAAGGCCACGAAAGGCAGCTCTGCTCTTCTGCGCGCGCACCCTGCCCGCTCTCGCGCTGAGGCGGGGAAGAGCAGGCGGAGGCCTTGGCGTAGCATCCCCCTCCCCGCCAGGAACAAAGAGAGACGTTCTCTGACCCACACTATGGCCCTTGGGCCTATGGGGGGGGGTTGAGGGGGTGCCAGAGCCCAACACGGCCGCTTCCCCCTCCCAACCGCCGCGGGCCTTTCCAGAACCTTCCTCCCCCTCCCCAATGGCCTCATTAGAAGCATCCCAGTCGCGCCAAGTGCGCCACCCAGCGTTTCTGCGTCACTGCTTCCAAGGCCTACGCTAATGGCGTACTCTGCCGCAGTTCGCGCAAGCGCGCTGCAATCTCCAACCCTTCAGCTTCCTATGCTACGCACCACGCTTGGAGTAACGCGCTTCGAGAATAGGACCCGTCTTTCGCGCTATGGCGGCCTTGACTGCTACGTACTTGGAAAATACCTCACCATTCCCCTCCCCTGCGCAAACGGCGCATTTTTAAACAAACTGCTTTGATCTCCCTTCATTTATAAAAGAATGTCGAATTGTTCATTCCCCGTTTTGGCCCTTTTGCTCAAAACATTACTTCAGACTGAAGTATGCGACCGTTATTTTAAAAAAATGTTTCACAGTGTGCGACAACAGCTCAGAGGCGCTTCGTCACCGCAGGGAGGGTCCTTCGGCCATTTCCGGAAGACTGCCGAAGAATACCGATTCCCCCTCGCAGCCCCTCGGCGATTTCCGGAAAAACCCGAACGGACAAACAATCCATTCTTTGCGGTTTCCGGAAAAAGCCGAAGAAGCACGAAGTGTCATCGCGCCAAAAAGAGAGGGGGTGGGGTGGGTGGGTAGGTGATAGATTAACGAAGCCGCTCTCCTTTGTAGTGATACTGGCTCGATATAGTAAAATATTTTTAAATGACGTTTCTTTAATAAAATCATATCAATAATGTTTTGTATCGCTTTTCCCTGAGGAGAAAAAAAATCCCAGAGAATGGGGCATTAAATCAGCTGTTTGAAAGAATTTTCAAAATCGAGGCCTAGGCGCTGCCTTTCCCTGTTTGTGCGCGCGCTTTTTCCCTTCCTGCGCCGCCGCCATTTTCTCCCCTCGCTCGAACTCACAGGGACACAATGGCGGCGGAGTTTCTTTTTTCCTCCCCCCCCCTTCAAAGTAAAAGCCGGCCATTAACCGAGCCACTCCGTCCGTTACCTCACTCACCCAGTCGCTCTCCCGGTCTCCGCGAGGCATCTCGGCTGAGGAAACAGCGAAGGGCGCGATAGAGTGAGGGAAGAGAGGCGGGAGGCGCGCTTTGGCTCCTTCGGCGGCAGGAGACGAAATGCGTGAAGCGGCTAACGACCGGCGGTGCAGATAATGGCGGCGGCGCATGCGCAGTGGCGAGCGGGAAGGGGGGAAATGGGCGGGGCTTCTCCTTAGGCCCCGCCCCTTTCCCCTCGCGGCGGCGGCGCCTTCTTCCACACACAGCGCGCGGGGAGCTAGCACAGTTCGGAGGAGCCGAGCAGACGCTGGGCCGCCGCCATTGAAGTCCGTATCTTTCTCTTTATCTTATTTTACCCTTCCTTTCCCCTCCCATCTCCACCTGCCTTCCTTTTAAAAGCCCTTTTATCATAAATCCTTATTGCAAGAACAGCATGAGGCGCTCTGAGGGGAAAAGGGCCGCTTACATATATATATATATATATTTATGTAACTCGAGAAAGCTTCAGGCGTGGCCTCCTCCTCCCTTTCCTTTCTCCTCCCCTCCTCCATTTCCCTTTTTCCCCCCTTCAAACGCCGCCTTATCACCCATGAAAGGGATTGGTAATGAAGCCTTTTGCAGTAGGCCTCTTTACAAACAAAATGGGGCATTTTGGAGTAGGCCTCAAAAAATTAGCTTGAGGAGAATGTGAGGCCGCCCACCCACCCAAGCCCCTCCGTTGCCTCTTCCCCTCCACTCTCCAACTTTAAATGTGTAAATGGCGGCCTGACCGCCATTTACTGGTAAGATCCATTTCTCCTTTCCTTCCATAAAGGAAGAGGCCCGATGAAACGGAGGCTGGAGGCGGTGAAAAGGAGTGACATCCCTCCAAGCGTCAGGTCCTCAGATGGGTAGCTCTGTGCTTGGAAATGGGGGGCCAAAAAGAAGGATGGGGTCCCTTTGGGATATTTGGCCAGGCGTTTTCACTCAATTTTATTCTCCTGGACTAGCTTTACCCGCCACGCGTTGCTGTGGCCAACCTTCCCTCCCTCGTTCTCTCCTCCTTTCTTTCTCACCTTCATTTCTTCCCTTTTTTCTTTCGTTCCCTCCTTCCTTCTCTTCCTCTTCCCTTCCTTCCCCTTTCTCCTTTCTTCCTTCTCTATCTGTTCTTGGACTGCAACCCCCAGCACTCCTCCTGATCAATCTATTTATGTATCTCCATCTAATCCAGTGGTTCTCAACCTGGGGTCCCTTCCTCTTTCTCTCCTTTCTTCCTTCTCAATCTATTCTTGGACTGCAACTCCCAGCAGTCCTCCTGATCAATCTATTTATCTATCTCCATCTAATGACCAGTGGTTCTCAACCTGGGGTCCCCAGATATTTTTAGCCTACAACTGCCAGAAACCCTAACAGCTGGTAAACTGGCTGGGGTTTCTGTGAGTTGTAGGCCCAAAACATCTGGGGACCCCAGGTTGAGAACCACTAATCTATCTATCTGGAGGATTGCTGGGAGTTGCAGTACAGGAATAGGAAATTGGAGGTATGCAGGGATTGGTATGCTCTCAAAGAAATCCAAGGAGAAGCAAACTTGCAGCTTGGAAGCAGTGCATTTGGATCATCTTCCTCTCCTAAAGGGCCTGGTCTATAGGGGATGCTGGGAGCTCTAGTCTGGAAGAAAGTGTGGATATGATATTGTGTGTTTTGTTTGTCCAGGGTAGTCATTTTGCACATGCGCTGTAGCATCTTTTTGCTTTTGTGGCTTTTTAACTCCCTTCTACTGTGTTTTTCAGTGTTTTTATGAGTGATGGTCACTTGTTGGCCTGATAGGTGTATTGTGTCCAAATTTGGTGTCAATTCGTCCAGTGGTTTTTGAGTTATGTTAATCCCGCAAATGAACATTACATTTTTATTTATATAGATTGTGGGATTCTATCCTTTCTCTTCCCCCCCCCCCCTTGCTCCTCATCCTAAGCATAAAAAAAAAAAAAGCATCGCTACAAAAAAAGGATGGCTGAAAGTGGAAGGGAAGTGGGCAGAAGGTGGTGGATTTCTGGGTTGCAGAGTTTTCCAGGTGGTGGATTTGCTTTCCTGCATCTCTTGGTTGATCCACCTCATCAGTTTGCAAAGAAACTCCTGTTAAAAGGCATTGGGACTGTAATGAGAATTATTCTATATATGTGTCCGGTGGCACTGTGGGTTAAACCACTGAAAGGTCAGCAGTTCGAATCCAGGAAGTGGGATGAGCTCTCAATTTTTGCCCAAGCTTCTGCTAACCTTGCAGTTCAAAAAGATACAAATGTGAGTAGATAAATAGGTACCGCTCCGGCGGGAAGGTAACCGCTCTTTACATGTTCGCCACATGACCAAGGACAGTAGTTCTCAACCTATGGGTCCCCAGGTGTTTTGGTCTACAACACCCAGAAATCCCAGCCACTTTACCAGCTGTTAGGATTTCTGGGAGTTGAAGGCCAAAACATCTGGGGACCTATAGGTTGAGAACCACTGATCTAGGAGATGTCTACGAACAACGTCGGCTCTTTGGCTTAGAAATGGAGATGAGCACCACCTCCCAGAGTCGGACTCAACTAGACCTAATGTCAAAGGAAAACCTTTACCTTTTGTGTGTGTATGTTCTATAACTGTTTAAGATTTATTGTCGAAGGCTTTCATGGACGAAATTACTGAGTTGCTGTGAGTTTTTCAGGCTGTATGGCCATGTTCCAGCATTCTCTTCTGACATTTTTGCCCACATGTAGGGCAGGCATCCTCCGGGGAATTCCAGACAAGAAACCACCAGGGACAGTTAACACCTCCCAACAAAGGATTCCCGCCAGACTTTGAATGCTTCTGGAACATAGCCATACAGCCCCAGAAAATCAAATCAACCTATGTTTAAGATTCCTAGGTCACCCATGTATTTGTTGTTTACTCGACTGTAATCTTGTATCTTCCTGAACTGTTAGAATTGTCTGTACTATATATATAAAAGGAAAATTTATATGTATGATTGTTCTTCAAAGGCTCCAAGATGGCTTGATGGATCTGAATCAAACTTCATTATCCAAATTAAAATCCTGCCAAATCAAAAATGGTCTCCCCTTTCTTTTTAAAATGACATATATTGATGGCCCATGAGTCTTATGATGCAGCGTTCAGATAGCTTACTCAGAGAGGAAGATGACAAGTGGAGGAGGTCTGGAGTATCAACAGGGAGGCACACTAGGAGACCCCTTCCATCAAGCCACGTAGGGCCTTTGAGGAACATAGATAAATGTTGTATATATTGATGTTATGACTGATTTTATGACCCCTGAAATGTTTCTGGACTTCAGTTCCCAGCATCCCCAGCCTTGGTGTAGTTAATTATGGGGAAGCCAGGGGATTGCAATCAGCATCATGATATCACCCCACTTTGAGGTTTTGCAGTATAAGCTTTCTTTGCAAATGTTTGGTTTGAGATCAGAATGTGTGATGATGTTATTAGTGAAAAGGCATGGCATGTTTTGTAGGTAATGCTTAACTCCAAATGCCTAGTGTCATAAGTAATATAACTTCAAATTTTGCTAATGTACTTGAATTTTGGAATCACATTGATAAAAAAGGGACCATATTTGTTTTCAGATGCCTTTCTCTGAGTAATACACATTCCTTTTGTCATGCATTTTTCTAGTAAAAGCTCAGCAAGTCTGCAATAAAAATGGCCACCAATAAATCTACATTGGTAAGTTCACAACCACATAAAATATGTAAGGATTTTATCACCATATTTCTTCAGATTTATTGTTGGCATTTCTGTGTAAAACACTGGTTCCAAACTTTTGGTCCTTCAGGTATTTTGGACTTCAGCTCCTACAATTCCTTCTTGGTGTTGAAGTCCGAAAACTCTAGAGGACCAAAGGTAGGGAACCATTAGTGTAAAAAGATACATCCACATCTCCCAGCATTATTTACCATATTTTTATCCCGCCCTATCTCACCCTCAAGGGGGGACTCAAAGCGGCTTACAGCTTGGCACAATTTGATGCCACATCAAAACAGAAACAACAAATTATAAATTTAACATTAATTACACATAAAAACAAGCACATACACATACAATTAAAACAGGATTTAAAACAGCAATTAAAACAACCACAAATTCTGTAATCAGAGTCCATGAGCCATTCCAGTTACAGTCACATTGATTTCCAGCTGTCTATTGCATTGTAGCTAGTCTCCAAACGTCTGGTTCCAAAGCCATTTTTTCTAAATGTCAGGAGGGAGGAGGCTGATCTCACATCACTAGGAAGGGAGTTCCACAGTTGAGGAGCCACCACTAAGAAGGCCCTGTCTCTCGTCCCCACCTGTGACGGAGGTGGAACTGAGAACAGGGCCTCTCCAGAAGATCTTAACTATCCTGGTTCATAGGGGGAGATGTGTTCGACAGGTAAGCTGGGCCGGAACCGTTTTGGCCCAGCTTACCTGTTATTGTACCAAATAAAAGATTGTGAAAGTAAGGCAACTGGAAAGAATACAAATTCTGGCATCAGTGGATTTGCCAGGTTCAGGTAAAAGTTTTAATACTTGATGCATGCTCTACACATGATGCAATTATTCATTTCTGTGTAGCAGAAGGAATGACCCAAGTTTCATTCAGAGAAAAGTCCTAAATGTAAAATATATTGCCATTGATTTAAGAGAACTTTTTGCAGAGACACAACATCTAGTAGCAGTAAAGAAACTACTGCTGATGCCATCTATATTTACATGGTCACTTTGTTTCAACTGCAAACATATTGATAAATAATTGACACAAGATTAAAATGGATTTTTTTAATTACACTTTCCTGACAAAGTTGAAAAAAATGCAGTTTTATTTATCAACTCCAAGGACAGTTGATACATGTTACATACCAGAAAAGAAAAGCAGACTTTTATGTTGCATATAATTAGGAAATGATTTTTTTTTAAAAAAAAATGCTAGCATCACGTTGCTCTAATGCATTGCTTCTCAACCTTTGGGTCCCCAGGTGTTTTGGCCTACAACTCCTAGAAATCCCAGCCAGTTTACCAGCTGTTAAGATTTCTGGGAGTTGAAGGTCAAAACATCTGGGGACCCATAGGTTGAGAACCACTGCTCTAATACAAATAGATAGTGCCATTTCCTCTGGGATAGTATGTACAATTTGGGTTGTTGCATCTTATAAAAGATGTTGGGAGGGTGAAAGAAATACTGAAAAGGACACCTAGAGCAATCAAGGCACTAAAACAACTTCCATGTGAGGCAGAACAGCAGTATATTGGGACTTCCAAGTTTAGAAGAAAGCGGAGTGTATAAACACAGAATCTTGTATCACAAGGACCATCTAGTTCAACACTGCCCTGCATGAAGATAGCCCCTGATCTTTTGATTCCACTCCCTTTGTACAGTAAAGATGTTCTTCTTAATGTTTAGGAGGTTTCTTTTGTAATCTGAGTAAGAAAGACATCTATAATGTTACGCGTGATGAGGACAAAGTGGATAATTTTTCTATATAGTATAATATTAGAAACCATGATATATGTAGCAGGATTTTTTTTTTTTGTTGTGTCAGGAGCAACCAAGGATAATGAAGGCAGACAGTTAACAGCCTGTGTGACTTTAAAAGAGAATGGAATACATACATTGAAGTTAGGATCAACAGTAGCTACTAGTAAAGAGGGTTATGTTTTATATCCAATACCAAAAACAGGATTCTGTCCAATGCAGCATAGGGGGTGCAGCTGCATTCACGTCTTGCTGTAGGGCTCTCACATACAGTTATTTGACCACTGCAAAACAATGTTAGACAAGATAAGCCATTCATATGATCCTGCATGTTGGTGTTTGCTGTAAACTTCCCTTATTACCTACATCAGTTTAGAAGTGATTGAAGTGTTTTCTAGACAGTTGTAATATTTCTAAAACACCTGTACATTTTGGGGTTGTACACTGATGTCACGAGGGAGAGCCTTCTATAGTTCTGCTTGCTCCCTCTTGTCTAACAAGTAAAAAGTCCACCCTGTGCATTTGGATCGTGAAAGAGAAAACCTTTTTTGGATTATTAAGTTTCAAAAATTAGACATAGCTATCACAAATATATTTGCCCATCTCCAATTGAAACATCATTTGGTCAAGATGTGCTTATGTACAAATGAACCCCAACCTTTTTTTCACCTAGAGCTTGAGCAGAAAATAACTGGGCTTGTTTGAACAGGGGTAATAGAGGTACTCAAAAGTATCTGTACTGCCTGATGCCCAAATGAAGTCTTACTGTCCTCCCATTCCTAGGAGAGTTGCACTGGTGTTCAAAACTGCAGCTTCAGAGACCTTATTTGTTTGGTTTAGAGAACCAAGCCTCCTGAATCTATTGCCTAGTCCCTCAGTCATTATCAGCCTTTTTATTTCTCAGCTCAAGTACCCATGATGTATGTTACTACAATAAAACATTTGTATTTTTCAGGCTACAATTACGTGTATGCTTACAATATACATAATGGCTTCAAAAATTCCAGAAATATAGCATTTCTGATTTGCTACCATTTTGAAGCCAGAAAACAGGATGCATTCAAAATTACATTTCAGTAACACTATTATCTAAAGAACTGTTTAGGCTTTTATGATATTTCTTCCTGCCCATTTTTAAGCAGTATACAGTCAGTCCCCCAGTTACAAACATCTGACTTACAAATGACTCACAGGTAGGAACGGGAGTGGGACAACAGGAAGTGAGAGAAATCTACACCAGGAAAAGAAATCCACTCCTGGAAGAGTTATGGAGAAAAAGCGCCTCCACTGAGGCTTTCTCACCAATCCTTGTTTCCGCAACAAGCTACACTTTTCAAAATCCAATTATCACAGGGACAGAAAGTGCAGTGAAATCTTCTGAACAGGGGCATGAACAGCAAAACCAGTATCACAGGGGTGTTAGCCCTTCCCTATGCTACCCAAAACATTTATTTATTTATTTGGCTGGAATTACATTTAAAAATGTACCTGTTCTGACTGACATACAAATTCAACTTAAGAGCAAACCTGCGGAACCAGTCTTATTTGTAACTTGGGGGCTGCCTTTATATGATTCAGTTTAAACAGTTTTGGGAAATACATTACTTTTGGAGAGGGTCCCTGTAATACCGGGGGGATGGAGGGGGGGGGGGCAGGTTTATGTTTTTAAAAAAATAAGTCTGAAGTCTTCTGGATTCACAGAATTTAGAGTTTGAGGACTTGGAGTTTGAGGATCCTAGATTGTTTCTCTCACTGGTTTTATCACAGAATTGTGCTTTTGCAAAGATCACTAAATAACATGATTTACTTGTCTTTGCTGTTTTGAATGACCACTTAAGGAATGCATTGAAAATTGTGTTCGCAACTCTGCATTGTTACTAATAGAATTGCACACTTATATGACACTAATACACTGGTTTCAAACCAATACATAGCAACATTGTAAAAAAAAGTAACCGTATCAGCTTAATTGTGCTGTATTGAAGCTGAAATGCTCTGAGGATGATGTGGATGTAAAGGCTTGTTATCCAGGCAATGTTGGGCCACTTAGTGCTTTCTATGGAATTTCATTTAAATCCATTGTCAGTTGTACGTTAAATCTATGGAGCCTGATTATGAAAGCTGCATCCATTCTCACTTCACACAGTGAGCTTTTGTGTCTATAAAAATTTTCTACTTAATATGGTGAGAGCAACTCTGAAGCTTTTATAAAAGTATGTTTTAGTGTCCCAAATGAAGGCTGAACACTAAAATTGTGAGAAATGTTTCAAATATAGTACATGAAAAATGCCCCTACCTTTCTGGTTAGTGTTTGTGTATCTTGAAAAGATACCCTTCTATCTTTTGTACTCCTTTTCACAGTTAATTTGGCTTGCTTTTTGTCCTGACAGAAGGCAACCTGGAGTCCTGTAGATATAGTTGGACATTATCTTGCTTAGACACTAGTGAAGAATTATTGTAGAGACAATCCAGTGACTTCTGAATGTCCACAAGTTGCTCTCACTGATCTGTCTGAATGGAATAACTTGTATCTGTGTGAATGGAATAACAATATTCTGAACGAGGTGACACTGGTTGCCGGGCCTCCAAAAGCCTCCTATATGAAACTAGTTCTGTGCTATTTCACTGAACAAAATATGAAATAGTGTTGCTATTTGGAGGTGTTACTTTCCAAATGGTTTTATTTTGCAGCATAAAATGGGGAAGAAACAGAATGGCAAAGGTAAAAAGGTCGAAGAAGCAGAACCTGAAGAATTTGTTGTTGAAAAAGTCCTGGACCGGCGTGTAGTTAATGGCAAGGTTGAATACTTCTTGAAGTGGAAAGGATTTACTGAGTAAGAGACTTAAGAACTACTTTTTCTAAGATGGAGCTGTATTGGGGGGAGGGTACGGGGGTATTTGACTACAGCTGCACACAGGTAGCATGGATACTAGACACATATGGGTAAAGCTGGAAAGGAAGCAAAATGTTTTGAAAGAGTTACTGTAACTGGCTCTGAAAATCAATTTGCTTTATAATGGTAGCATAAAGGCTCTGTGATAGCATGTAGTAAACATTTTTAAAAAACACTTATAGTGTCCACATCTTACTCCTACACTAACTAGAGGAAGGTCTTTTACCATTTGACTTATCTGATCAGAGGTAAGCCTAACTAATACAGAATGAGTTTTAAATTAAAAATGCATTGGTATTGTTATGATGCATATGACTAATGTAGTAATAGCACTTAGTCATTTTTCAAGAAATAGTTCAAATGTTAGCATTGAAGATAGACTACCTGTATTTTTGTCAGATTTTTTTAAAAAATAATGATAGGTTGAAAATACACCAACTATGTACTTGGTGGCTATAAATAGTACAGTGTTACAGTGTTTACAAAATGGAATTATTACAAAGTATCTAAAGGCAAATATTTTGATAATAAATACTTTCCTGTGTAGTCTTTACTTCCCTCGTATGGATTACTCTGTGCAGCATATATTTGGAAACTTCTAAAAACCAGTGATCTTTTGGGTGAGAGTCTCACTACCTCCATAGTGTACTCTTAATGCAGAATGTATCAAATCAAGTTAGGGAAGCAAGACACAGAAGAGGAAAGGACGGCAGATTGTGTGCATTTGCAGGCAGCCATTCAAAGAACCCCAGCTATAGGAAAGCAGTATGCTCTTTTTTTCTTGTGCCCCCAGAGACTTGTATTTATAGTTAATTAGCCTGGTACTCACTAGCAGGTATGCCATGTTGAAGAGCCACCATGAGTCATTTGTATGAGTTCACAGGGGCTTCTTGAAGAACCACAGTTACAAGGTGAGGCAGCATAACTTCCTTTTTTTCAAAACTTAATAAAACCCATTGTATGAATCAGAATTTTTTTATATAATGTAAACGCATACCTAAAGTTTTGTTTTACATAGTTTTGAAGACCAAATTAGGTGGGTGACGTCCCCCATTATCTATTTCCCATACACTGAGTAAACCGATTTCTGGCATTTGTCATGACTCTTGCCAGCATAGTTGGTGTTATGTTGGCAATTTCTTCCTGGATGTTGGTCTTCAAGTCTTGTAGGGTCCTTGGACCCCATAGAAAAAAATCACAAGGGGCCAAATCTGGAGAGTGGGCCGGCCACTCCAAATCCTCTTGAAAAGTAGACCTCAATGGCAAAAGCACACTCCTCACTGTTCCAACACCTGATGGCGACTGAACTGTGTCAGGACAAAATTTTATACTCCCGCCTCTCTAACGAGACCACTAGTGCTCCGCTATGTCTTCAACCGGCTGAATGGCGCATATTTTTAAAAAGGAAGTTATGCTGCCTCTTCGTATATACTTACTGTATAAGTAAGCAATCAGCCTCTCATTTGCATACGTGTACATACATATACAGCATGGAAATGACTTTGTCTGTCTTCTCATTTGCCAGATTTACATGCATTAAGCATTTCTAGCATAATTTAAATTATATGTAGCATTGCTTCTGGAGTTACTATATGTAGTCTTGATAATATGTTACAACATTTAACAATCTGTACTATATCCATTTCAACTTATACATTATAATTAAGTAATTGTCTTTGAAGTGGGAAAGCAATGTTACAGCAATTAGTCTGTATAAAATTGGGCGGAGGGGATAGGGCTTTGGTGAAGACAGTAGCATCCTGTTAATGAACTACAATTTAACTACGATGGCGTGTTGAATTCAGGTTTATCTCTTTATGATTTATATTTTAATGGGTTTTTTCCATAAATGTTATTTCAGTGCTGATAACACATGGGAACCTGAAGAAAATTTAGATTGTCCAGAGCTAATAGAAGCATTCTTGAACTCTCAGAAAGCTGGTAAAGAGAAAACAGAGGGTGCCAAAAGAAAATCTCTTTCAGATAGTGAAGCCGATGACAGCAAAGCAAAGAAAAAAAGGGAATCTGTAAGTTAATTTTTTATTTTGCATGTGATAGATTCTTGAGTGCATTAAGGCATAATATTATCAGACCAGAATTCAAATCCCTGTTCACTCAATTAGTTGTCTTCATGTTCTTGAGCCATTCACCCACCCACCCACCTGGCCTGGTCCTGTAACTGACATCATAGGTAGACCTCAACTATGAGAGACAACATGAGAAAACACATTCAGAAAATCACATTGTCTGATTTTTAACAAATTTATTTGCAAATTATCATGGAAAACAAGTATTTGGTCCATAACAAAAGTTCATCTCAATACTTTGTTATATTTATTGGCAATGACAGAGGTCAAACGTTTTCTGAAAGTCCTTACAAGGTTGGCACACACTGTTGCTGGTATGTTGGCCCATTCCTCCATGCAGATCTCAAGAGCAGTGATGTTTTGGGGCTGTTGCTAGGCAACACGGACTTTCAACTCCCTCCAAATGTTTTCTGTAGGGTTGAGATCTGGAGACTGGCTAGGCCACTCCAGGACCTTGAAATGCTTCTTACAAAGCCGCTCCTTTGTTGCCCTGGTGGGGTGCTTGGGATCATTGTCATGCTGAAAGACCCAGGCACGTTTCATCTTCAGTGCCCTTGCTGATGGAAGAAGGTTTGCACTCAAAATCTCACGATACATGGCTCCATTCATTCTTTCATGCATACGGATCAGTCGCCCTGGTACCAACATCAGCCCCAAAGCATGATGTTGCCACCCCATGCTTCACAGTAGGTATGGTGTTCTTTGGATGCAACTCAGCATTCTTTCTCCTCCAAACACCACGAGCTGTGTTTCTGCCAAACAGTTCTACTTTGGTTTCATCTGACCATGTGACATTCTCCCAATACTCTTCTGGATCATCCAAATGCTCTCTAGCAAATTTCAGTCGACCCCAGACATGTACTGGCTTAAGCAGAGGGACACGTCTGGCATTGCAGGATCTGAGTCCCTGGTGGCATAGTGTGTTACTGATGGTAGCCTTTGTTATGTTGGTCCCAGCTCTCTGCAGGTCATTCACTAGGTTCCCCTGTGTGGTTCTGGGATTTTGCTCACCGTTCTTGTGATCATTTTGACCCCGCGGGGTGAGATCTTGCATGGAGTTCCAGATCGAGTGAGATGATCAGTGGTCTTGTATGTCTTCCATTTTCTAATTATTGCTCCCACAGTTGATTTCTTCACACCAAGCTGCTTGCTTATTGCAGATTCAGTCTTCCCAGTCTGGTGCAGGGTGACAATTTTGTTTCTGGTGTCCTTTGACAGCTCTTTGGCCTTCACCATAGTGGAGTTTGGAGTGTGGCTGCTTGAGGTTGTGGACAGGTGTCTTTTATACTGATAACAAGTTCAAATAGGTGCCATTACTACAGGTAATGAGTGGAGGACAGAGAAGCCTGTCTGTGAGACCCAGAAATCTTGCTTGTTTGTAGGTGACCAAATACTTATTTTCCACCATAGTTTGCAAATAAATTGGTTAAAAATCAGACAGTGTGATTTTCTGGATGTGTTTTCTCATGTCGTCTCTCATAGTTGAGGTCTACCTATGATGTCAATTACAGGCCTCTCATCTTTTTAAGTGGGAGAACTTGTACAATTGGTATCTGATTAAATCTTTTTATTCCCCACTGTATATCTTGTGATGGCTGTAAGAGTAAAGACACATTCTTCTCTTTCACACATTTTTCAACATATCTCCTGTATTACGTACACAAGTGATAAAAGCACACAGGGATTGGTAGAGCCCAGGGTCTGAGACTGCATGACATGATAGATACTCGCCTGAGCTTATTTGGAGGAATACATTAATATAGTTGGAAAATACATTTATATTACACTCTAAATATTTTATCAAACAGGTTGATAAGCCTAGAGGATTTGCAAGAGGACTTGATCCTGAGCGAATAATTGGAGCCACCGATAGCAGTGGAGAACTTATGTTTCTTATGAAATGGTAAGTAGTGGAATGAAAATGTCAGTAGGCGTCGGAAACTAATTTGAGGCTTATCTTGATAGAGATTTGTACTGCTATTTTATAACAGTATTATATTTAATGGCATGTCTGTCAGTATTGGGGTGATTCCCCCCTCCCCCAAGCTTTGACAATGCTGGTTCTTTAAGACTTGACAAGTTGAGAAATACTGTGCAATATTCGGTTGGCCACTGTGATTAAGAAGCCTAGTGATACGTAGGTTCACAGTATACACAATTTCATTTATGAAAGAACCTTCTCTGTACAGTGTTCCCTCACTGCTTCTCGGTTCGCTTGCTGTTTCATGGTTTTTCAATAAACATTAATTTAAAATATACATCGCTGTATTTTTGCTGTTTTGCGGGTTTTTGCTGCCACCGATCTCCAAGGCGCTTTACCTCTTCGGTCCTCCCTCAAGTCTTCAAGGGCCTTTCCTTCGCGCTTTCTCTCTTCACCTGGTGAAGGGAAAGGCGAGGAGGGCTTGCTTACTTTCCTTCCTTCCTTCGCAGCCACCGCACTGACAGGGAGGCAGGTGGGGAAGCCGCAGGGGGGGAGGGGTACTTGGTAAAACAAAAACCTCGTGTACAGCTACCCCTCTCCACTCTTCCATTTCACGTTGGCATCGGACTGTCGCATGTGCGTAGTTTTTGTCTGCGGTGTTGTGTATGCTATTTGTGAAATTTTTGTTGGAGACTGAATTTATTCAAGCCCTATGATGCCACCCAAATGTTTTGCAACTTCTAGGGATTCTGGCAGCGAGCCTAAGCGTAAGCGAAGGATGCTTACGATAAAAGAGAAAGTTGAGCTTCTCGACATGCTCAATGAAGGGAGATCGTATGCTGCAGTTGGCCGCCATTATGGGATCAACGAATCAACTGTTCGTTATATTAAGAAGGAAGAGAAGAATATCAGGTCTACGGCAACAGTGACTTTCAACAAGATGGCGAAAAGGGTAATTACTCCTCGTAATAAGTTGATCGTAAAGATGGAATCTGCATTAGCCTTGTGGATTAATGATTGTCGTAAGAAAAATATTTCCTTGACTACGAACACCATAAGGACTAAAGCCAAGCAACTTTACGATTACATGGCAGAGAAAATAGAGGACCAAAATGGTGTTAAACAAGAAGAGGATGACGGCGACAATGATGAAGCACGAGCATCGACATCAACTGGTTCTCCCACCAAAGCAGGCACATTCACTGCCAGCAAGGGATGGTTTGATAAATTTCAGAAGCGTTGTGGACTTAAGAGCGTTTCTCTGCATGGAGAGGCTGCCTCTGCGGATAAAGCTGGAGCTGAGGATTACGTGAACAACACGTTTAAGGAGATAATAAAAGAAGGGGGCTATCTACCAGAACAAGTTTTTAATATGGATGAAACGGGCTTATTTTGGAAGAGGATGCCATCTCGCACTTTTATAATGAAGGAGGAAGCCAGAGCCCCTGGTTTTAAGGCTCAAAAAGATCGAGTCACTTTGATCATGTGTGGAAATGCTGCAGGATTTATGATAAAACCAGGACTTATTTATAAGGCCAAAAATCCAAAAGCCCTAAAGAACAAAAATAAGAATGTGTTGCCTGTGCATTGGATGCATAACCCTAAAGCGTGGATCACAAAAATCCTCACAAGGGACTGGTTTCATCAGTGCTTTATCCCGGAGGTTAAGGTTTATCTGGCAGAGAAAGGCCTTGATTTCAAAGTGCTTCTGTTGATGGACAATGCTGAAGGCCATGCTGTCGACATAACGCATGATGGGGTCCAGGTAGAATTCTTGTTGCCAGAAACCACATCATTTATTCAACCAATGGATCAAGGTGTTATTCGCGCTTTTAAGGCACTTTACACAAAATATTTCCTGCAAAGCCTCGTTGAAGCAATGTACATGGATGAAGACTTCTCACTAAAAGCGTACTGGTGTGACTACACGATTGCATCGTGTCTCAAAAATATTCAGAAGGCCATAAATGAGATGAAAATTGAGACTTTAAATGTGTGTTGGAAAAAATTGTGGCCAGAAATAGTGCATGATTACAAGGGATTCTCTCCAAATGAAATCCATCATTCTGCAGTCGATAAAGTTGTGAGGCTGGCAAAAATACTGGGTGGAGAGGGTTTTAGTGATATGACTGCCAAAGATGTGAATGATCTGCTTGACATGCACGGTCAACCATTGACGCACGAAGACCTGGAGGAGCTGACCAAGTCAGCAAGTGAAGAGGAGGAGGAAGAAGGCCAACGGGCTGAGGAAGAGGAGGTGGTTGGCCTAACGCTTGAACGTCTTGCAACTTTGCACAAAAAGGCTCAGGAACTTCAGCAACTCGCTGAAGATTGGGATACGAATATGGTTCGTTCGTTGCAGTTCAGGAATTCCATTGACAGCTGCATGTCAGCATACAGAACCATGCTAACCCAGGCAAAGAAGCAGCGCCAGCAACTCCCCATAACTATGTTCATAAATCACACGAAGAGGTCTGTGATGCCAGCGTCTTTAGTGGAAGTACCTGTACCTGAAGAAGTTGCTATGTCCCATGTCGAAGATACAGGAGTGTTTCAAGTGAAACAGGTACAGTACATGTACTGTACAGAACACTTTGGGAAAGGTTATTAAGGGAAAGGGTTATGTAGTGTATACGTGTGTGGGAAGGGTTTATTTTAATTTTATAAAGACTTTAAAAAGTATATAACTACTAAAATAATGTAGAAATATTAAAATAATATTAAAATAAATATAGTGTCCCTGGAAGGTAACACCCGCGATAAGTGAGGGAACACTGTATTCTCTTGCTACATCTATCAAAATTAAGCGATTTTTCTGATTAGTATCTAGTATTAATGTGCCTGTACAGATGATTATTCAAACCTTTTGGGAATCAGTTTCATGTTTAAACTTTGTTTGGTAGAACTTATGTTTTATTAAATTTAACTAACGAATTCTATTTTTATTTTTTCATGATTTTTATTCAGACATATAAACAAAGAAAAAATACAACAACACAAAATGAAGTTAAAACTACCATAAAACAATGTTTCATTATATACAAAAGTTTATCTACATGCAAGCTGTGCACATTCTAAGCAAACACCTGCTAAACTATAAGCCTCCAGCATGTTGCATGTTTATTTTAACATCTTATTTGTTGATTTCTTTAAATATCAATTTATTTCTACCTTTCTACAATTAATTATACTCTTCTATATCGGAAAACTAATGGTTGAAGATTGTCCCCAACTTTGCTATATAAAAGTAATACATATATCCAAATCTTTCTTGGATTTAGTCAAGAATGTCTGCTTAGTCAATATAGTCCATCTCCAGTAATTCACATATTTTCATGAGCCAATCTTCTTGTGTTGGTATATCTTTTTCTTTCCATCTTTGGGCATAGATTATTCTTGCTGCTGTGATCATGTATAACAGTACTCCCAGAAATCCTAACAGCTGGTAAACTGGCTGGGATTTCTGGGAGTTGTAGGCCAAAACACCTGGGGACCCACAGGTTGAAAACCACTGATCTAAGGAAAGCTTTTAAAATCTTTCCATACTTCGCCATAATTGAGTTTTTAACAGAAATAGTTAATTCCCAAATATTTAACCTTTAGAGCTATCTGAAAACCCAATTTCTCACTTTTTTTTGTTTCCATTTAGGCATATTCTTGGTCAAAACAACAGTTTTACTCCTTATTAATTGTAAATCTTGACATATTTCCAAAGGATCTTCTAAGAATATCACTAAGTTATCTGAAGCTGCTTTTAATTTATAACTCTGGCCTTTTGTATTGACTCCTTTTTTAGCTCTTATTGCTCTATTCAATACATTTATCACCATTACAAACAAGAGTGGTGAAAGAGGACATCCATGTTTCATTCCTTTCTGTATATCACATTGTTTTGTCAGTTCTCCATTAATCAAAATTTGTACACTTTGATTGACATACATCTGCTTGATCAATTCCTGAAAGTTTCATCTGCAATTCATTTTCTTCATGATGAATTACAAATGACCATGATCCATAATGCTTTTTCAGCATCCAGAAAAAAACAGAATCTTTTGTCTTTCATTGAGAGCATCCTAATATTCTAAAACAGCGTTTCTCAAACTGTGCTCCTCTAGGGGTTTTGGATTTCAGCTCCCAGAAATTCCAGCCAGTTTGCCAGCTGTTAGGAATTGTGGGGGCCAAAGTTCAAAATATCTGGAGGAGCACAGTTTAAGAAACTCTGTTCTAAAGTATCCAAAATGCACCTCTTATCATCATTCAAATGTCTCTTTGGTAGAAAATCCAGCTTGATCTTCATGTATTAAAGTTTGTAAAATTTCTTTCAATCTCTCTGCTATTTTTGCAAATATCTTATACTCATTAGTCAACAAATATATAGGTCTGTAGTTTTTTTGGATCTTCAGTATCTTGACCTTCTTTAGGAATTAAAGTTATATATTTTTTGTCTCCAAGTGTCTTGTATTTTTTATTCCTTACAGAGAATTGTTGTATTGTGCTGTCAGTCCATCTGGATCTGGCAGTTTTCCTAAATTGTATCTCCTGAAATACCTCAACCAGTACCTCTGTTCTTATTGGTTCATCCAATCTCTTTCTTTACTCTTCATCAAGCATCATTTTTTTTGTTTTTCTAAGTATTTTTCCAAGTCCCCTTTTCTAGAATTTGATGCCTTATAAAGTGATGAATAATAATTGTAAAATACTGATTTAATTTTGTCCTGATTTGTAAATTCTTCATTTCCCACTCTAATTTTTAGTATCGAGTTCATCTCTTTTTTTCACAATTTGTAAAACATCCATTTTCCTGGTTTATTTGCAAATTCAAAATATTTGTTTTGCATATCTATTTTTTTTTCAGTCTCGGCAATTGGAATAATGTTTGTATGGCCTTTTGATCTCATAAATCAGTTGGTTGTTTGATGGGTTCTTTTGGAGATCCTTCTTTCTCCTCTTGGTTGCAACTTGAAATCAGGTTCATGTTTTCTCTCTGCCGCACCATTTTGTTGTATAAAAATGCCTCTCATAAAATCTTTACTGGCATCCCAAACCATCCTTATATCAGTCCCCTTATTCAAATTATCTGCAGAAATAATTTTAACTTTTTGCTTTTGAGATTTTTTTGTCATAATACAATAGTGAAAGTTAAACGTAACCTTTTCTGTTGGCCAGAGCCAGCATAACAGGTTTGTGGTCTGAAATATTTATACCTTTCATTTTATAAGATAAATCTTTGGGTATAAAAACATACCAATCCTAGAAAATGAATTATGTATTGCATTTCTTTGCTTGGCTGTATTTATGTTTCCATGCATCTTAGAAGTAACAGACCAATTTTATGTGTATGTATTTGAAACTGTCCCACCGAAACAGTCATAGTGATATTTCTAATACTAACATAATGCTACTTCACAACTATAATCAATGACCTCACTTCTCAGTTGTTATCAATTTACAAGTTGCATCCTATGGATAGCCACCTAGCCATTACTATTGATATGAGTGCTATCTAGAATCTTATTCTTGTAGTGACATGCTGAAGAAATGCAGCTCCTCAAGCTTCTCAAATATTACCCTGTTTTGAATGACTCGATGAGGAATCCTTTCAACTCCTCTAATAAATGTATGGTTGAGAACTATATTCAGGCACTAGTAATAAAGTCCCTTACAGTAATACAGTTGGCTTGAATTTTTTTAAAAAAAACCATGGTACATGCACCATGCTTTTAGAGAGTGTTTGCAGTAATGCTTTAAAGTTTAAATGGGGAACTATGATCATATGTTTTAAAGAAATATATTGAATCCGAATTCTCTTTTGAAACAGGAAAGACTCTGATGAAGCAGACCTGGTGCTGGCCAAAGAGGCAAATGTAAAATGCCCTCAAATCGTCATTGCTTTTTATGAAGAACGGCTAACTTGGCACTCATGCCCAGAAGATGAAGCACAATAATTATTTGAGTCCCCCATTCCTTTTTATATATAAATATATATGGATTTGACTTACCAGAAATGTGGGAAGCTATTCTAATTCAACGAGTTTGCTTATTTTTGAAGTAATGTGTTTTGCATAAACAGAAGCGATAAGCGATCTGTGCTATTTGTTTTCTTTTATTACTGGAGAGCATTTGATACTGCTTCCTGCATCTTAGTTAAAGTGTTTTATAAAAAACCTTGCTAGTTAATAGTAACCCTTAATGGCAATTTATTCAAATGCAAAAGCTTTTTTGTAACCCAGTATACAGCAGACGTGCATGCATCTTTCTTCCTATTTAGTCCTCTGAAATCTGTAAAATGATTCTTTCTAGTATTTGTGGTTTCTTGGTTCTAGAGGGACCAGGTTAAAACTTTGTAGTAAGTTGAAAGTGCAATGTATATTGTTTACTTTATTGTAAATACTGGTGAGTTATCAATAAAATAGTTTTATATTTTTGTTCCTTTTTTGCCAAGCAATGTGAAGTGCAAAGTCTTCAAGCTGTGGTATTTTTAATTGCTGACAGTTAAGCTCCAATACAAGGCTGAGGAATGTGCAATTAATCATTACAATTACTTGAGAGTAGTGAGAAAAAATAGTAAATTGTGGTCCGGCAACATCTGAATGGCCAATCAATTGTGCTACGTGAGAGGACATCCTAGGATTATTCCTTTTCACTTGCTTTAGTAGGAAAAAACATTCAAAATGCATCTCCTGAGTAGAATTCACAAATGGTTACTAGTACTGTGCCTGCATGTGTAAGGGAAGCCCCAGACTGGGATGTCATAAAGAAGAGGAAGCAGGCTTGTTTTCTGCGGCCCTGGAGACTAGGACTTGGAGCAATGAGTTCAAATTACAGTAAAGGAGATTCCACCTGAAAAGCCCCCGGTGGCTCAGTGGGTTAAACCCCTGTGCCGGCAGGACTGAAAACCGACAGGTCGCATGTTCGAATCTGGGGAGAGGTGGATGAGCTCCCTCTGTCAGCTCCAGCTCCCCAAGCGGGGACATGAGAGAAGCCTCCCACAAGGATGATAAAAACATCAAATCATCCGGGCATCCCCTGGGCAACGTCCTTGCAGATGGCAAATTCTCTCACACCAGAAGTGACTTGCAGTTTCTCAAGTCGCTCCTGACACGAAAAAAAAAAACCCGAAAAGTTGGAAGAACTTCCTGACTGTAAGAGCCGTTCAGCAGTGGAACTCGTTGCTTCAGAGGTGGAAGCTCCTTCTTTGGACGCTTTAAAATAGGTTGGATAGCCATCTATTTGCCAGGAGTACTTAGTGCTTTTCCTGCAATGCAGGGTTTGGACTGGATGGTCTGTGTGGTCTCTTCCAACTATAATTCTAATTGATGACATTTAGGAAAATTCATCAATTAACAACTACCTTACTTGAATTTGCTGTGTCAGACTTTTTGTCTGAGGAAGCAAACCCAGGTGAAGATTTTTGGGGCATGCAGGCTGTGAAGAGGTCATGTAACCCCTGGTGCTAACAAAAAACTTTTCTAGGGGTAACGTCAACCTTTCACAACTAGCACCATCCCAGTTTACAGACTTAGGAAGAAGGTGACATTGGCAGAGAAACTGTTTATCCTGGGCTGGAGTTTGGAAACAGATGAAGAGATGTCTGGTATTACTGAAGAAGTACACAGGAAGAAATGG